AAAAAAAAAAAAAAAGAATTCTGCACACATCTCCCAGGTGCCCCACAGGATCCTCTAACTTGGCCCTGTCAGCCTATTTTACAGATAGATGAAACCAAGGCTTAGACAGGTGAGGCAATGGCCATTCATTCAGCAAGTCTTTACCAAGGATCTAGGCCACAGAGTGGGCAAGACCTGCTCCATGCCCAGGGGTCTGCAGTCTAGTGGGGAAAGTGAGCACGTGTCAGACACTCACATGTAGAGTTATAACTGTGACAAGTACTAAGAGACGAGTTACTAAGTCAGAACCTGGTAGCCCAGGTCAGAGGAGGCAGTACCTGGGCTGAAATCTGGAGAGTGATAAGGATGTAGTCGGGAAGACTAGGAGGCTGTATAGGCAAAGGCCCCAGGGGAAGGATGGGGGGCCCAGAATGGCTCTGCCTGTGAGCTCATAATCAAAACCTCCTGCCCCCTTCTCCCCATCCCCTCACCTTCATCTGCCTGGCAATCTCCTTCTTCTGGTGCAAAATGTACTCCAGGATTGCCTCTCGCTCGTACAGGTAGCCATCTGGGCTGCAAAGGGAGGATGTAATGAGAAAGACCTGGCCCCAGCCCAGGACATATAGCCAGGGCTTAATCATCACAGGCACCACATCAACTCCCTGCCCTGGGCACCCACTAAGTAAGTATCTCACAGGCAGCACTTCACTCACTGTTAAGCTATCTGAGGTGAATTCTTGTGCCAGAACCACACTATTTTAATTCTCATGGCTGTGAAGAATGTTGTATTGTGTAGAGGGGTTAACTCAGCAGTCTGGGTTGTCCAAAGTCTGCACCTTACAAGGAAATGACTAGCCCTTGACTAGTTCCCAGGAGATAATCTCTAACCTGCAAAAATGCCCTGTCTGATAAGAGCATCTCTGCTTATGTGGGACCACATATAACAGTTGACCTTTGGAGGGGCTGGAGACTAAAGTCAGCCACATGGACAGTCAGCCATGTCAATATGACCAATAAAAACTCTGGACACTGGGCCAGGTTTGGTGGCTCATGCCTATAATCCTAGCACTTCAGGAAGCCGAAGTGGGTGCATAGCTTGAGCTCATGAGTTCAAGACCAGCCTGAGCAAAAGCAAGATCCCTGTCTCTACTAAACATAGAAAAACAGGCAAGAGATCACTTGAGTTCAAGAGTTGGAGGTTGGGCAGTGCCTGTGGCTCAGGGAGTAGGGCACTGGCACTATATACTGAGGGTGGTGGGTTCGAACCCAGCCCCAGCCAAACTGCAACAAAACAATAGCCGGGTGTTATGGTGGGCACCTGTAGTCCCAGCTACTCGGGAGGCTAAGGCAAGAGAATCGCCTAAGCCCAAGAGCTGGGAGATTGCTGTGAGCTCTGACACCATGGCACTCTACCAAAGGTGACAAAGTGAGACTCTGTCTCTAAAAAAAAAAACAAAAAGAGTTGGAGGTTATTGTGAGCTGTGACACCACAGTACTCTACCCAGGGCAACAGCTTGAGAATAACTCAAAAAACAAACAATCTCTGGATATCAGGCAGGGCGCAGTGACTCACGCCTGTAATTACAGCACTTGGGAGGATCCTATAATCATATCCACAAGGTGGGTGGATTGCCTGAGCTCAAGCGTTCAAGATCAGCCTGAGCAAGATTGAGACCCTGTCTCTAAAAATAGCTGGGCGATGTAGTGGGCCCAGCTACTGGGGAGGCTGAGGCAAGGGGATCGATTGAGCCAAGAGTTTGAGGTTCTTGTGAGCTATGACACCACAGCACTCTACCGAGGGTGACAAAGTCAGACTTTGTCTAAAAGAAAAAAACTCTGGACACTGAGACTCCTGGTTGGCAATACTTTGTACGTGTTGTTACACATTGTTGCTGGGAGAATTAAATGCTGTCCATCTGACTCTACTGGGATAGAATAGTCAAAGGCTCATACGTGGTCACTACTGGACTCTGCCCCCTGCACTTTTCTCCTTTGCTGATTTTAATCTGTAACTGTGAGTATAATAGTCTTGCTGAGTTCTTTAAGTTCTTCTAGCAAATAATGTACACAAAGGTGGCTTTGGGGACCCTGAACAACAGTCTATTCTCATTACTGCCTGTATAAAATAGACCATTAGTTAAGGACGTATTTAGCTGGTGGCCTATGCACTTTTCACGCTTTCATCCTGCTGTCAGAGGCAGGTAATGTAAGTATTCCACACAAGCAATGTTATTTTTTAAATTTTTTTGAGAGAGTTTCATTTTGCTGCCCTCAGTAGAATGCCATGGCATCATAGCTCATGGCAACCTCAAACTCCTGGACATAAGAGATCCCCTTGCCTCAGCCTCTCAAGTAGCTGGGATTACAGGCACCTGTCACACCACTCAGCTATTTTTTATTTTATTTTATTTATTTTTTTTGCAATTTTTGGCTGGAGCCGGGTTTGAACCCGCCACCTCCGGTACATGGGGCCAGCGCCCTACTCCTTTGAGCCACAGGCACCACCCTATTTATTTTTTTGAGACAGGGTCTCAAGCTGCTGCCCTGGGTAGAGTGCCATGGCATCACAGCTCACAGCAACCTCCAACTCTTGGGCTTAAGCGATCCTTTTGCCTCAGTTTTTCTATTTTTAGTAGAGACGGGGATCTCACTTTTGCTCAGGCTGGTCTCAAACTCGTGAGCTTAAGCTAGAATTAGAATTAATTCTAGAGTGCTAGAATTACAGGCATAAATTGATTAATTAACATTAATTCAGAGTGCTAGAATTATAGGCGTGAGCCACCTTGCCCAGCTGACTTGGCTATTTTTTTTTTTTGAGACAGAGTCTCACTATGTCACCCTCAGTAGAGTGCCATGGCATCACAACTCACAGCAACCTCAAACTCTTGGGCTTAGGAGATTCTCTTGCCTCAGCCTCCCAAGTAGCTGGGACTACAGGTGCCTGCCACAAACCCTGGCTATTTTTGTTGCAGTTGTTTAGCTGGCCCAGCTGGGTTCGAACCCACCACTGTTGTATATGTGGCTGGCGCCAAGCCGGGTGTCACTCTTGTTTAGGCTGATCTCAAATTCCTGAGTTCAGGGAGTCCACACACCTTGGCCTCCCAGAGTGCTAGGATTACAGGAGAATTAAGTGCTGTCCATGTGACTCTACTGGGATAGAACAGTCAAAGGTTTATATGTGGTCGCTACTGCACTCTGCCCCATGCACCTTTCTCCTTTGCTGATTTCAATCTATAACAAGTGCTATTATTAAGGGCCAGGCAGTGTTGCAAGAGCCCTACACCCTATCACAGATAGATTCTTTTCTATATACCGTGAAACAAACTAGGATCGTGCCCGCATCTCAGATGAGAACATTGAGGATCTGAGAGGTTAAATGGCTTGCCCAGAGCACCCTGGATGTACAGGTGGCCAGATCCACATATGCAGTCCTCTCTGTGCAGTACCCTTGCCCATCCCATCCTGCCCCTGCCATCCCTGTTTTCAGCTCACGTGACGACAGGATCGTGGCAAGGCTGCAGAGACAGGCAGCAGCAGTCAAAATCCTTTACGGCATCTCTGCTCAGTCGGATGTTCTGGGTCCCATAGCCTGAGGCCGCTGGTGACAGAGATGGGGAAAGTGACGGAGAGGGAGGGAACAGGAGATATGTCCCTCTCCAAAACCCAAGAGAGAGGCACAGATTAAAATCAGAGGTCTGGGTGGGAGAGAGCACTCAGAGAGAAGCAGGCAGTCAAAAGCTATGTATCTGTATGTTGAGAACAAGGCCATCACAACCTGCAGGGAGTGTTAATCCCCAGAGGGCAAGTGACAGACAGGCCCTGTCACTGAGTGGCAGCTCTGAGGAAAGGCTAATGGCTGACTCCACTCAACCTTTCTGGCTGTGACCTATGTCAAGGGCCTGTACCTCTTTATACCTCAGTTTCTTCTTCTGGAATATGGCAATACCAACCCTCCCTAATGCATTGTTGGGAGAAGTAAATGAGTTAATGTGCAGAAGACATAGGGTAGCAGCACCCTGTACATGGGGCCACTGGAGCACGTGGACTGTTAATTATATAAGGACAGACAATTAAGTTTGCAAACATCCTAGAGAAAGTGCTACATACCTCATTGTTGAATATCACTATGGTCACCTTAGAAGTACTCCCCTTGGGAAGCTATGCACCAATGCCAGAGCCTAGTCCACCCTTCAAAGCAATTTTTGGACTTCTTTTTTCTGGAATAACCATCAGAGCTGTCGTTGTAGGTCTATTAAGTTCAAGAACCTGACATCGTGCGCTTACATTGGCTATACAAACAATTCATTGACGTTTCAGACCCTTGGCATGAGTATCTCACAGCTATTTTCTTTTTTTCTTTTCCTTTTTTTTTTCCTTTTTTCCCTTTCTTTGAGACAGAGCCTCAAGCTGAGCCCCTGGGTAGAGTGCCATGGCTTCACTGCTCACAGCAACCTCCAACTCCTGGGCTCAAGCGAGTCTCCTGCCTCAGCCTCCCAAGCAGCTGG